TGCTGGGTCGTAGGGAAGCTCCATGTTTAGCAGTTTGAGGAACCTCCAAACAGTTTTCCATAGTGGTTGTACTAGTTTGCATTCCCACCAGCAGTGCATACTACCTGGGCTTTTGCAGAAATTAAGTTGGGGATCACTCAGCTAGTAAGTACAGTCATCTCTGGAGCCATGGTTTGCCTCGCCCCACTCAACCTCCAATACCTCACCCCTGCCTCCAATAAAATCCTAAATCTGGAGTCCCTGTGCCCAGCTCTCACGGTTTACTGTTCCAAACTCGCACATCTCATGAAACCAAGGCCAATTTACACCATCTTCCAGTACCTGCCTCTCTTCTTCCAACACTTGCACCTCCCACCAAAAAAAAAAAGTAATAAAAATCTCATAAATCCAGCCCTTTGAACTCCCAGTTTGTACAGGTCATTTCCGCATTTCAAAAAAAAAAGTGCTCCTGTTTTATTGAGCATTTGCTAACCCCTACGCATTGTGCTACTCACTTCCATTGTGTTACCCCATTTATCCCTTACTGCAATCCTACCAAGTGTTTTGTCCCGATTTCTGTGACCGGCTGCAAGGAAGACCGGAGGCAGAAAGGCTGAGCAAGTAGACTTTATTGCTCCTGGGCAGCAGCTGAGACGGAGCCCCTACGGTGGGGTCCGCAGCTACTGCCAGTGCTATAGGGGCAAAGGGTCTCATATAGATTCTAGGTTCAGATTCCAAAAGGGTGACTCCCATCGCTGTGCCCCCTGATACCAGGCCCAGGTCATCCCACCAGTATCTCCCAAATGCGAGGCCCAGTTAAGTATCACCCTTGGGTGCGAGGCCCAGTTTATTATCGCTCTTATCTAGTCCTACAGTAGTTGTGTTACCGCAACACCTGGTCGCCCCCAACACCAAGGAAGTATTTTCTTTTTGTCCCCATTTTCCAGGTGTGAAAGCTCAGGCTAAAGGAAGTGACCACCTTTCAGGGTAACTGAGGGAGTAAGTGGATGATCAGGTTTAAACCTGAACCTGATTCAATGTCCACTGTAGAATGGACTCTCTTGAGCAGAAAAGTCTCAACCCCATTTATTCATTTATTCCACAAGTATTTACTGAGATCTTGTCTGTGTCAAGGTTTGTGCAGGCACCAAAAATATACAGGTGAGCAAAATAGACAAAAAGTCCTGCCCTAAGGAGCCTACATTCCATTGGAAGGAGGAGACAGGTGTGGATAAATAAAAGATGTAGCATGTTAATGGTACAAGTAAAGGAGATTTAAAAAATAACACGGGGGGAATATGAAATCTCTCTATAGACCCAAGGGATCTCTCTGATTGATTCAGTGAAGGTTTACCTCATTACCTCATTCACCTGCGAGTGTCTCCCAACCCCACTACCACCACCACAGCCATCCCTTGCCTGTCTTGGGGCAGGGTCTGGCCCACTCTAGGGTGGAGCTCTTTTTTGTTAATATGGCTAGGGGTCCTGGTTTGTAGGTCCCTGACCTTCTCTGGGCTTCAGTTTCCCCACCGCCATATGGAGGAGTTGGACTAGAGAAGATCCCTAAGGTCTCTTCCAACAATGACGCTCCTGGATTCTATGAATAGGGGTAAAGAGAAGAGGGACTAGCAATTGCTTCCCCACGGTGGCAACTGTTGCTAGACTAGGGCCATCTCCTGGTAGGAGTGGAAACTCCGCTCAGGATCGAGGAGGTCTTTCTGGCATCCCATCATGCACCGCGACTTTGCCTCGCTAGGAAGCAACGTTTTGGTCTCTTTGGTCACGAACATCCCTTTGGAGCCAGCCAAAGAGCGCGCCTCGTTCCTATGGTAACCGCGCCAAGTCCACGTGCAGACGGCAAGTGACGAGGGTCAAACAGACTCGCGAAGTAAACGCCCTCAATGCGTTCAGTTCGCGCCCACGGTGTGCCGCGCCTTTAAATGTCACGTGACTTCCCACTGCCTCGCCCCCACCCCTTTCCCCTCCCAGGCCCCGGCGAGTGCTGGTGTGCACCGGAGGCTCCGGCTCGGCGGACTAACTGGAGCACGGACGCCGCAGCCGGTTAGGCCGGTGCCCTTTCCCGGTAACTCCTTCCCGGCGTGACGCGCGGAGCCGCTGACGCGGCGGGGCCGGGCAGTCTCAGAGATCCTCTTTCAAGTCCTCCTCGTTCCGGGTTCCCTCTGGGCCGGGGTTGGGGGGCTGGGGGGTACCGAAAGACGACGGGCCCGGCCCAGGGCTCTAGGGTGGCGGCGGGGGCGGAGACCCCGCGGGAGGTCGAGTTGGGGCTGAGACCTAGGGCTTGTATCTGGGAGCGGCCGCCTGATTTAGGGGATACAGCCTGTGTGCGGTAGCCTACCTGTTGGGCAGGTTGCTTCGTGCCCTGAGGCCACCAGCACCGTCGAGCGGTCAGCGGGAGAACTTCACAACCACCCCCTCCTACTTCACCCCCTGCCACTTGGGCCCTCCTGTTGGAAGCTACTGACACAGAGTGTAAGGCGTAATAAGTTGCACTGCATGGTAGAAAAAAGTGATAAGTTCCACCTATTGACGACCCTGTGTTCTGCTTAACCTTTACATTTAATTCCCATAGTGATCCTTTCAAGGTGCTTGATTCAACCCCGTTTTATGAATAAGGACACTAGGCTTAGCAATTTTCAGTAACTTGCCCAAGGTCATGAACTGAGGGAGAACAGCTCCGGTTCTTGCCTGATTCCCCAGCTCCTGTGCCCAGCCGGTAGCTGCATCACCTCCCCGAGTTCAGCGCGCTGTGCGCGTTTTGTAGGACAGAATAGACATTCCCTTGTTTTAGAATTTTATTCAGCACCCCTTCAGTCCTAAACATTGGCCATTAGATTAATCAGTTTCAGAGAACTCTGGGCAGCATTTAGATGCCCACTGTCAAATCCACCACTGTTACAGCTCTGCCAACCTTAAGTAAGATGTCACATTAGTCACTTGAACCTTACAACTTCAGCAACCTATGTGAAGTCAAGATAAATATGGCCCTTAAAAAAGTCATTGTGTGATATCAAAGATTATAATCCTGGAGTGTCAGTGTCTGTGCAATGCAGCGTTACCTTGTTCATTAACCAATCAGGATTATTTCCCAAATCCACACATACTGGACCTCTTCACGTAGAAAATTAAATTTTTTCTCATCTGAGATTTCCATTTTTAATGATACATTGTTGATAATCAAAGAACAGCTTTTATTTTTTTGGTTCAAATGATGTAGTGAGAAAGAAGAGCTTTGAAGCACAATAAATTATAATTGCACAGTCCTTTGAGAGAATCTCACTTTTGCATTTGTACTTATTTAACTCCTAAGAACATCACAACGATCCCATTTTGTAATTTTGCACATGGTGAACCTCACTGATATATTCAGTACGAACTCAGGGAGTGAGAATAAGTGAAAGTGTATTTGCATTGTCGTCACTTGGATTTTCCTGTGATGTTTTCCCACATTCACTTATCATTTCTTCATTTCATTCATTTTTCAGTCATTTCCAAAGCTTTTCTGATTCGAGGAGTGTAGAGAATTGCTAGTAATTCTTATTGCTCACCTTTTCATCTATAATAGTTCTTTTTTGTGATATTCAAAAGCACAGCAAGATTGTTGATTTTAAAAGATATGATCAAACAACTTGACACTTTTCCTGCACAGTTTCTTTTGTGTGTTTTGTTGTTCATCTGTATATCTTATACCTTTACCTAAAAAGCAAGACTGTCCAGCTTTCTACCACTAAAACTTAATACTTCTTCAATTATTTCAGCTCTGGAAAGGAAGAGAAATGGAAGTGAAAAAGTTGAGCATTTCCTGGCAGTTCTTGATAGTTCTGGTTCTGATCCTGCAAATTCTGTCTGCGTTGGATTTTGACCCATACAGAGTCCTAGGGGTCAGCCGAACAGCCAGTCAGGCCGATATTAAAAAGGCTTATAAGAAGCTCGCCCGGGAATGGTAGGTGAAACTAAGAAATAGAAGTTTAATATAAGCTAAGCAGTTTTAGCAGGCTAATGGAGCCTAAGTTATACTTAGCTTTTATTTGTCTCTGTTTCTAATTCAATAAGTACATAATATATGTCTATAGTGCTTTTTGTGAGAGGGCTAATATTTGTGTTATTTTATCATTTTTAGGGATCAGACCCCAAAGCCTGTGTTACTGTGAAACCCCCTTCTGAGAATTCTTTGGCTTAAAGAATTGCCTCAGATACTGTTGGCAGATTTAATGTTAAAGTAAAATAGGTTGGAACTTTAAGACATATATGTAATTATCAGCAAGGGGTAAGTTACCCTTCCCAGGTTAAGTGATTCATAAAGCAGCTCTTAATGAGTGGTATTGCCAAATGATACTGTTCTCTAGCTTTTTAATTTTTAAGCCTTCCCAAAAATTTAAAATATAAACTCTTGCCCTCAATTTAAAAAAAAAAATTTAATATTTAGGAATTGAGCACATTCCTTTTAAAAATTACCTTTTAAAAATCATGGAATAGTCATAATTCCACCTGCAGATAATGCATAGAAATATGAAAATGTTTGCGAGTTAGCAGAATAGTAATAATTTTAAATGTGTTTTGCACACACACATGGTCACTTCCACCACTGCTTTGGGCTGCCAGAGTGGGTGTGTTGGGTGATAGAACAGGAGAAATAGATGGAACAGCACAGGCACATACACCTGGGTAAAGCAGCCATGTGCATGGAGATGGCAACCATCAGAGTTCCTGCCGCATGTTGGCCCCAGGTTCTGTGCTTTTTCTCTCACTTAAACTTCATAATTCCTTTCTTGGGGAGGAACCGAGCTCTCCCTGTTTGGGGTGAGGAAATCCACACTCAGATTTGCTTATAAGTCTGCGTTACCTCTCAGTCCAGTAGGTTGACCTACTGCACCAACAGGTAGTTTTTTGCTCTTTTGGTTTTTAATCACTTACCTATGTGGACAGAAGTAAGAGTGAGGGGGTGAGTGTCTGGGTGTGGAGGAAGTTATACAAGAGCAGAGCGACCATGCGCAGGTGACACGCCAGCTTGGGAGGTCCTGCCTGATTCTTCAGTGAGAGATGGATTTTAGTAGCAAACAGATGCAGTCAAGGTATAAGATAGGTTTAAAATATAATCTTACAACTACATAGATTTTTCAGACCATATGTCGTGAAATAATCCAAAACAGGTTATTAAAAACATAAACTCTAATTATGCATGGGCTTTGTCCAAGGGACCTTCTTTAGAGCAGACTTTCTATCTAAAACTGTGGGTCCCTCCATTCACTCAAAAGGTAGCAACCTGCATTTGAACAGGGTCTGGCCTCTGACTACATTTTTAAAAGCCAAAACAAGTACTTGAGTAAGTAAGACCTACTAAAATGTAGCTTTGACTTGTCTGTCTTCCAGAGCTGAAAAGGGTGTTAAGATATTAATTCAATGAATCACATGCATCTCTTCCTTAATTAGATTCTCTGTAGGAGTAATTCATCACTGTAGAAACATATAGTCAATCCAGTGAAAGTCTAAAATTTTACTTTACCTTTATATTTTCACAGTTGTGCTGTTTCCTGCTATTTTGGCTGTGGCAGTGTTTTATCACTGAACTAGTCTGTGTCCCTTCATAGTGGCTGCATGTGGTTTCATATCCGCTGGAAACAGCAGTGTTCTCTGGTTCGGCGTCTTAGAATGAGCTCTGGGATTAATGTTGCTTTGGATTCGTAATCCCTTCTACTCCGTTTTTACTACTCACCTGAGTGTCTGACTTCTTAAGAGCTTTCCCTGGGCTTGGCAAAGCTATTTGAAATGACTTGCAGTTTTATCATAGGTATTTTTCTTTTGTCATCAATTCCTCCCACACCGAGAAAAAGATGGCATAAAATTTGATTTGAACCAATCAAATATGATAGGACCAGTCACTTGAACAGTAACTTGGACTATCTGATACTTTATTGTCTACTTTTCCAGCCCTCATTTTTATTCCCTGAGAGGCAGCTTATACAGCCACAGCTACCGAAAGGAAGTCTTTGCTTTGCTCTGAAATGTAAAGGGCGTTGGTTCATGGCATTTTGTGAAAGGTTTCGTGTATGCATTGGATGCTACTTCCTAGTGCTGAGTCTCTGCTTCTCCAGATGTTTTCAACCTTGTGGCCTCTTCCTGCAATGAGGAAAATATTCAAATATTCCTTAGAAGCCAAGATGGTCTTAGGCCTTGGTTTCCTCTGCTTCAGACCTATGTTTTCACCAGCTGCCCTGGAGAGACTCCTCAGTTCAGTTTCCCTAGCAGTCCCTTCCTGCCTTTCTGCCCTGAGAATTCGTACACCAGCTCTTCATTTGTGTGAATGCATAATTTTTATCTTCTCAGCCTTTGGCCTAAGCTTGACTATTGAAAACACTTTTTTTTTTAATTTGGTTTATGTCATCCAGAAACATGCTTTGGAGGCCTCACCTTGTCCCCTAACATTCACAGCCAGGGTTAAGGAGTTAACCGAGATAAAGAGCCAGCTGCTTGAGGGTAACTTCTTTTTAAGAAGAATGTGTGGTATAATTCATTCAAACAGGTTCCGGTTAGAATAAATTGGTCAAATCTTACGTTTTCTTTCTAACCTGGGTGTACCTGGTGCTGTTTTTAGTAGTTCTTTGCTTCCCAGTGGATTATTTCTCATTCCAGAACCTTAGAGGAAATTTACTAGAAGTAGCAAAAGTGATCCCAATAAAGAGTAAGTTCTGTCATAGAGTCGCTAAATAAAATGAACATTGACAAGTTACCAATTTCCATCTTGGGAAGTTCTAAGAAAGTCAAACCCTACTTCTACTTTCCAGGATTTTCATCCCCCAAAACTGAAATCGGTGTCAATACAGAATAATACAGAACCGCGAGATGGACACAGTTCATTGCCAGCTGTGTAGAACAGCAAACGCTGGTTCTTACGGTAGTTGAAGTCACTACAGCACATAAGCTGTAGACTTCTCACATCTTAAAACGTGAAGTCACTGCCATGTATTCATAAAAGGGAAGCTCAGGCAGAGCAGGATAACCGGAGAATAATGGAAAGGCCTTTGAACGTCAACAGCAAGATACTGTTTGGAACGTGGTTGCTACTAGACAAATGTGTGGTACATCCTAAAAACGGCTGTGTCTCCCTGAGTCGCTAGAAGAAACACCTACGCTGGCAGCATTCTGACCTGGGTGAGAGGCTGCTCTCTGCGAACAGTGTCTACCCTTGAGCCAGCTGGCAGCAGGCAGAGCAGTCTGTGTAAAGACCCCTCCCCCCTCAGTGAGCGCTGCATGCTCACTGGGGTGTCTAACTGCCCAGCAGATGTGCTTTTGAAAAAATTGCCTGTTTCAAGCTTTCGTTTATTAATAGTCATGCGAGGGAACAGATTGCTTCAGCCATTTATTTTTAAGAAGCTGTCCTAACAAAATGGCCTCCCGTCTGCCTCTGAGGTAGTGAACTGCATGTACAAGGATGTGAATTGACCATGTATAAAACAGTAGACCCATTCTCACAGCCTCTCCATTTGTGTTTCAGGCATCCAGACAAAAATAAAGACCCTGGAGCAGAAGACAAATTCATTCAGATTAGCAAGGCTTACGAGGTATCATGTCAAACTGTGATGCGTCATGAGCTTCTGTGAACATGTCCCAGGAAATCAGTTTTGTAAAGTCCCCTCAGAAAGGGCATGAGCCCCCGAGGGAGAACATAGTCAGTCTGTTGAAACTAGTGCCTGACACTTCAGCCCTGGACAGAAACTGGCCAGTCTTAAATGCTTTGATGGGAATTACAGAATTACCCTGAACATGTGTCTCTATTTCCTGCTTAGAAACTTAGATTACATGTTTGCTTTTGCTGCTCATAAGTTAGAAATTTATATTAAAGAATTCCAGGCCAGTTTGCCTGTGCTTCTTCAAGTGGCAGAAAGCCACAAACACACTTGAACACAAGGTTTTCCAACATGTCGGCTTAAGTAGGTCAGTCTAGAATGTACATAAGCAGGCCCCTGGCCTCCTGATTTGTGTCGGCCAGTGCCCCTCTGCAGGTAGCGCTTAGCTCAGAGCACAGCACGTCGCCCTAAGACAGGCTCTCCAGGTTCATGTGCCAGAGTTATTTCACCACCTGCCATCATGGCTGTGGCAGACTGTCTGGCTCTCTGGGACCTTTCAGGGACACTTGAGTTCCCAGGCCTGCCCTTGTTTGTGAAGGGACAAAAGGCTGTTCTCCATCCAATCATGTCACAGAGACCTTTGAGGGCACCTGGAGTCTTTTCAGTAATGTTGGGGTATAGACCAATCAGATACTTTCAGTTGTTTTTAGGGTTCCTCTCAGTCCACCAAAGAATGAGAAAAAAGAGACTAAGGGGCCCCCATACCCTTCTCCACATATTCTATCTTCCCTGCCAAATGTTGCAGGGAAGAAGAAGGTGATAGAATTCACTGGAAGCAGAGTGGAGAACAGAAAAGGGGGATTTTTTGAAATGCACTGCCTGGTGGTGCAAGGGGTTGAGTCTCAGTGCTTTCAAGCTATCACCGTCAGCCACTGTGACATGGGTTTGGTCCCCGACCAGGGAGTAACCCATGTGGCACAGCAGGCCTCTCTGTCTCGCCCGCTGTTCCCCTCAGCAGTGTATTTCAGTGGATCTGCCTGTTCTGCTCCCCATTCTGTCTCTAGTGAATCCTCTCAACCCTCCACACCTCTGCCCAGCACTCTAATTCTGGTGTGAATAAATAAATAAAAATAAATCTTTAAAAGTAATATAATGCTGGCCCTCCCTGGTGGCGCAACGGGTTAAAGCACAGCACTGAGAATCTGAAGCCACTTCCGCATGAGTTCGATTCCCGCCTGCCCCGGAGGTGACCACATGGCGAGCCAGACCTCTCCTGACCCGCCCACTGCTCCCCTCAGCAGTGTACTTGGTCGATCTGCCTGTTCTGCTCCCCACTCTGTCTCTGGTGAAGCCTCTCACAGCCCCTGGGCCTCTGGCCTATACCCCAGTTCTGTATGCACAAATAAATAAATAAATCTTTAAAAAAAAAAAAGTAATATAATGCTGAAAGAAGCAGCAAGCGAGACGAAAGAGTTCGTCTGCCATTCCAAAGTTACTTCTAAAAGAAACCACGTCAGCCAACACAGAAGCCCTTAACTCAACTCTGTGGCTGAGAGTTTTTCATATCTTGGTTTGAATTACCACATGATTCAACTGAGTTGATTTTTATACAGTTGATCCCTAGTGACCAAAGTTAGGTTTTGTTTGTTTTGCTGATGTGTTTTTAGTCTTATGACAGCTCAAAATCTTTAAAGCCAAGATGAGCATAAAGACCTAAATGTCTGAAGTGTTTCAGTCTTGAAACACTGAATGTTTCTATTGAGAGAGTTGTGGTTTGTTGAATGGCTGCGTTTAGAATGGCTAATTACACCATAGTTCATACATTTATTTTCTCCCTTTGTCTTGCAAGCTGCTTACAGGAAAGGTCTTTGTTTTCATTTCTCTCCTTTCTTCCTTTATAGATTCTTTCCAATGAAGAGAAAAGATCAAATTATGATCACTATGGAGATGCTGGAGGCTACCCGAAGCAGCAGCAGCAGCGAGAATATCGCTTCCGCCATTTCCATGAAAATTTTTATTTTGATGAATCTTTTTTTCACTTCCCTTTTAATTCTGAGCGGCGGGACTCAATTGATGAAAAGTATTTATTGCACTTTTCACATTATGTGAATGAAGTGGTTCCAGATAGCTTCAAGAGACCCTACCTCATCAAGATCACCTCAGACTGGTGCTTTAGCTGTATCCACATCGAGCCGGTTTGGAAAGAAGTTGTTCAAGAACTAGAAGGTTTGGGTAAGTTCATTTTATTCATGGAAGGTGTTTGTATGGGAGAAGACGACTTTTATAGCCTAATTTTATGGAAGTTCAGGGAAGGAAGCAGTTCATGTGATTTCTCTTCATAAGCTAGTAATGACGTATTTTCTAGGAACATGCTTTCAGAAAGGGGAAATGTCATAAGCCACTTTCATTTTGCATTACTAAATTGGGGCTTTATCTGTGTAGATTCCTCACTTCTAGTTGGGCCTCATGAATAAGAAAAGGAGCTTAAAATTACTGGTTCAACAAAGCAGCCTCAAGCATCAATGGTACTGCTGGTAAGAACTGTAGATTACTTTATGGTGCGTGTGATTTCACTCTACTCATTCGCTAGGATTGCCCAGCAGTCCTATTCTTTGAGCAACACAAACTTATGTTCTCATAGTTCATGAGGTTAGAAATCCAAGATCAAGGCGCCAGCAGGTTTGGTTACTTCTCAGGCCTCTGTCCTTGGCTCAGAGACCATGCCTGCCCTGGTGTCTGTACCTGGTCATCTCTGCACTGTCTGTGTCCTGCATCTTGGATCACTACCAACCTAGTGACCCCCTTTTAAGTTAATTACCAACTTGAAAACCCTATCTCCAAAACGGTAACATCCTGAAGTGTTAGGGTTCAACATAGGGATTGGTGCAGGGCAGAGGGACACAGCTCAGCCCCAGCCCTCTTATGGTCATGAGTTACCATTCTCGGTCACATGGTAACTTTGTTCCTGGTTACCACTAATGCCAGGGAAACTTTCGTGTTCCAGTTATTTTAATAACTCCAAAAGGTTGGAATTATTGGATGTGTGTGTGTTTTCTAGGAAATAGCAGGCCTAGTCTTGAGTAACCAAAAAGGGAGAAACGCAGCCATGGGGACTCAATGGCGTGGACTTCCTGGAGGGAGTGTCCACTTAAAACTAACGGTTCTTTTATTCTAAGGCAGAAATTTTCAACCTGTCCTTCGGACAGGAACCCAGATTTGCCACAGTGTGTTCCTGCAGTTGGCTAAAGACCTTTTTGGAAAATGAGGGAGTCAGCACAGTACTTCCCAGCAGGTGCACAGTCAGTGGTGGGTGCTTGCTGTTGGTGCAGAATGAAGCAGCGAGGAGTTGTGATCTGCTGGGAGCCACCAGATCGAAAGGCTATAATTGCATGTTATGCCATGCTAGCCGAGGTGGTGAAAACTGCTTACTCGCTTTGGGCTGAGTTGACATTAAACTGAACATAAATCTGAAGTCATTGCGTAATTTAGGATGGTAATGATTTATACCAAAGTCAGATGGGAGCCAACGCTGTATTTTATTGTATTGTGTGTGTGTGTGTGTGTGTGTGTAAGGGTGTGTTTAGAATGCTGTATTTTAGACATGCAGGTCAGAATGTGTGAGAACACAGCTCTGCAGTGGCTGTCGCAGACACGGTAGTCAGACAACACCCAAATGTCAGCTCTGTGTCCTTGGGCAAATCACTGAACCCAAGTTTGTTCATCTCCAATGACTGTGGTCATATCAAGCCATTGGCTTTCTTACGAAGATTAAATGAGAAAATTTTATATTATGAGCCTGATGAATATATTATTGTTGTTAAGTATATTATTAATATATTAACTTCTCATTGATAATAAATAAACCAGAAGCAAACTAGAGAACAGAAAAGGGGGATTTATTGAAAGGCATTGCTGGGGTCTCCCTGGTGGTACAAGAGGTTGAGTCTCAGTGCTTTCAAGCTGTCATCGCCAGCCACTGTGACATGATAAATATATTATTGGTATATTTAATAATAAGTGGGCTTTCTGGTTTACCAACGTAAATTTTTGAAAGCCCCTTTTTACATAAACTCCTTCTGAAAAACTTTCTTCAATGTACTGACTATCGAGCTCTGACTTTTGACTTACTTTAACTAAGTCTTGAAAGGTGATTGGAGATTGCCTGGGTGGGAAATGAAGGCGTAGCATTGCAGGCAGGGGAACACCACAGCAGAGAAGCAGAGGGCCCTCCAGGTGAGCCCGCAGCAGGTTGCGACCTGGGCACAGGTAAGACAGGAGGAGCCTGCTGGGAGCCAGTAGCAAAGATCCTTCCAGTGCAAACCACAGAAGCCGGCCTGTTTCACTGTATATAGTAAAGCCCAGAGGTGATTTATGCAGGTTCCAGACCTAACCCAGAAGCTACCTGCTAAAACCATCAGGACAGATTGAGGAAGGTGAGGGAAAGGCAGGAATGTTCCTAGCCCTGGCCAGTCAGCAGCTGTTGTTGGTCTGAACTAGGGCCGCAGGCAGACAGCAGAGAGTTCAGAGGCTTGTGGGGGAGCCTGGCTCCTGTGGACCGTTTGAATGTGAGAAACAAGGAAGAGGAGTCAGGATAGACTCCACATTGCGATTCAAACTGCTAGATGGGCAGGGAATACGGGGAAGAGTTGCATTTGGGAAAAAGAGGTGCCGAATAACAAGTACAGTGTAGACAAGCTCGTGTAATATCCTAAAAATAATATAAATGTGCTGCTGGTGATAATAAGTTTTGTAAGTATTACGCATCTGCCTCGTGCACTGTCCAAGTATTGACTCATTCAGCTGCAGCCCCGTGGGTCAGGTGTCGCTGCTCTCTGCTTTCACAGCTGCCTCGACACTTTCTAGCGCCTCGTCAGGCCCCACAGTTGGTGTTTGGCAGAGCTGGGACTTGAGCCTGGGCAGTCTGGCTCTGCATTGGCGTGACACTGTGCTGCCTTTCAGTGTCCTTAATGTCTGATGAAGGAAGATCTTGCTATTCTTTCGGGCTGTTGTGCTGTATAATCCTAATAAGTCGTAACTCCGATGACAGAGGTGGAAGGGGCTGGATTTAAACCCAGAGAAGTTGTGTTTGCGGCGTATTCAGCCCAGTCCTCCATTCCACCCCAAGGCCCCAGGAATCTAAATGCATTAGGTTCTCTTGGTTTACAAACCATACTTATTCTTCAGAACACCCAGATGAGTTGGAATTGCTGACAGTCAGGTTCCAGTTGGTTCCAGCCGGCTCCAGTTGGGCAGTGTGGAGATGAGATCCTCTGCTCTCAATGGTCACCCCCCACCCAGGGAGGCTGCGCCACTGTGGAACAAGTTTCCTTCTGAGTTGACACATCAGCCAGTCTGGGGACACTAGGACATTATCTCAGAATAACACAAAAGCCCTGGATTGTCGTGTGTGCACAAAATAGAACAGCTCTCCCCAGAGGAGAAAGCGAACAACAACTTGGGTGGAATCGGCTGTCATGTCACTTGCAGGAGCCTCCAACACTCAGACAACCCCGCTGTGGAGGGGGCCCAGAAATAGCACTGCCCTGACCTGGAGGATCTGGCCATCTCATGTACCTCGAACTCACACAGCACGTTTACAAAGACAGAGTAACCTAGTGCAACAGAACAATCGAGTGCAACAGGAGTAGATGACAAAAAATTCATTCCGTGTTCTCAGAAAGCTGTTTTCTTGATGAACTTTTTCAGACACTAATGATGTTTTAAGATATTTTTTATCAAGCATCTCAGTTGATTATATTGTGCTGAGTGCTTGGTGTGATGTCTCTCTTTTTTTTTTTTTTTTTTTTTTAAGATTTATTGTGCATACAGAACTGGGGTACAGGCCAGAGGCTCAGGGGGGCGGTGAGAGACTTCCCCAGAGACAGAGTGGGAAGCAGAACAGGCAGATGGGCGAAGTTCACTGCTGAGGGGAGCAGCGGGCGGGTCAGGAGAGGTCTGCCGCACCATGTGGTCACCTCCAGGGCAGGCGGGGATCAAACTCATGTGGAAGCGGCTTTAGATTCTCAGTGCTGTGCTTTAACCCGCTGCGCCACCAGGGAGGGCCGGTGATGTGTGATATCTTTATACCCCGAAGTTACCTAGCGCAGGAGATTTAATCTCCCTGTTTCACAGTTGAGGAAAGTGAGGCCCAGTGCGTAAAGGAGCCAGTGGGGGTCACAGTGTGCCTAAGAGGCAGTGTTGGGGTGCAGAATTGACCTCCACTCTGTTTTACTGCTGCTTCAGAAATAAGTAAAGCTGGTCTGTGGGAACTCAGGCTATGGTACCGGGGCCATGCCGGTCCCCTCAGTGCAGGAGGTGCCTGCCTCCGACCACCAGCACCAAGGTTAAGGGCCTTGAAATCGAGTCTCTTACTAGGGACACCCAGTTTGGATGACCACGCCATGATGGTTCATCATGACTTCTTCTTTTTTTTTTTTCCTAAGAATTTATTTATTTATTTGTGTGCACAAGAACTGTGATACAGGCCAGAGGTGCAGGGGCTAAGAGGAGTCACCAGAGACAGAGCCAGAAACAGAACAGGTGGGTTGACTGAAATACACTGCTGAGGGGAGCAGCAGGTGAGACAGGAGAGGCCTGCTGTGTCCTGTGGCCAGGGATCAAACTCGTGCTACAGTGGCTGCAGGAGAGCTTCATGGTGCTGAGACTTAACCCTTTGCGCCACCAGGGAGGCCCTCATCTAGAGGAGGAATAGTCCTCTTTTGAGGAACTGCTATGTATGGGCCATTTCCTTCTGCTCAGGGCAAGGGTTTTCCGGCATACTGGTGAGGGGAATTTTTTCTTCTGCTTTAGCCCGATGTCCTTGATTTTGGTAATTTGCTTCCTGACAGGTTTGTGTTGAGGCAGATTTGACAACAGTGTTCTCTTCCAGTTGACTTGGTACTGTCCCTGAAGCCATGTGCAGGAGTGGAAGGAATGAACATGTGTACACACAGGGGAGAGGGGAACAAGAATTTCCCCAAAAAATCTTCAGTGAAGATTACGTCAGGGAAGCAAATAGGATCTGGCATCTCTGGGCAGAGGCGTGACTTGGTGGTGCTTAGTACTGTACAGAAAGACCTTTCAGCGCCTCCAAGAGGTGCCTTAGCTTCAGAACATCCCGGCTGGACTCTCGTTCTGTGTTGTTATCAGGAAAAAAACCAGGAAAATCACTTCGCCTAACTCTGTCTTGAGTTGGGTAGCAGAGGGTAGGCTGTGTGACACCCCAGGACCTGCCTTTCCTGCTCTGGAGAAACGCCAAGGGTGGCAGTCAGCAGATGTGTCACGTCTACTCAGCAATTTTTACTTTCGATATTAAGTTTATGACCCTGCCATTTACTCGGCAGTTCCATACTTAGAATTCATCAGTCAGGAGATGATCCCACAAGGCCGCAGGGAAGATTTGGCACAGGACGCCCGTGAGACAATCCTTATACTGGTAAGAGCTAAGGATCACCAGGGCGCAGCCATGCAGGGCAGCGGCCCAGCCTCGGGGTGCACCTGCTACAGCCAGGCTCTGAGCTGGGCTCAGGACACCCCAGGCCTGGCCTTCCTAAGGCTCACGTTCTAGCAGGAGAAAACAGTACTGGACAGCAGGGGAATGTCTGAGGAGCTGAAGGTGGTAGGTACTGTGCACAAGGGAGGGTGAGCGAGTGAGGGGGGACCCCGAACGCAGGGAGCACCAACTTCAGATGTGGCAGCTGGGCTGGCCACGTCCCTTGGGGCATGCAGGTGAAGAGCCGGAGAGGAAGGAGGCCTGGGGCCAGGGACCCCGTCCCAGAGGCCTTGTCGGCTTTTGTCAAGATTGTGAGCTTTATTTGGGAAACAGACAGTCTCTGCAGGCGTGGGCAGAAGAGTGACTGAGGTGCTTGCGCTGGAGAGAGGCCCGGTTTCTGTGTGGAGCACAGGCTGTGAGGGACAAGGAGAAACGGTAACCAGGTTATTGCAGCAGCCGGGGGAAGCCTCTGAGGGGAACACAGGAAAGAGAGAAACGGTGATGAATCCATGGTATACTTTGAAAACAGGCTCAGCGAGACTTGCCGACAGATTGGATGTGGGGGGTGAGAGACGACTTAGGATCCCAGCCCGACTATGGAAAGGAGGGAGCTGCCACCCAGGGAAATGGAGGAGGTCTGGGCGGAACAGATTTTTGGAAATCTTAAGTTTGTGAAGCCTGTTAGACAACTAGGGAAAAGAGTATTTGCCAACTATTAATATTTACTGTTTCTCTGGTGTTGGCAGAGAAACCAGCCCCTTCAAATGTGTGTATTGAATGAACAAGAAGTTGCTTGGGGATTAAGTGAAATGAGTGTCAGATTACCCCTGACACACACATCTGCATATTTGTATAAGGGATGGTGTAAAACTAACAAAACGTTAACCGTGGTTATATAGCACCAGCTTTTGAGTGTTTTAACTTCATTTATTTTTCTGACACTCTATGTTCTAACATCTTATATAGGTCTTATATAAAAGGGAGCCTTGCTCTGAAGGGTAAGACTGACCTTCCAGCCTATCAATAAATAAACCTGTTTGTTTGTAGCCACTGGCAGATTAGTGAACCTTGGGAATATTTACAGGTTTTGTTCTTTTTTTCTTAATATTTATTTATTTATGCACACGAGAACTGGGGTACAAGCCAGAGTATGAGAGGGAAGAGAATTCACCAGAAACAGAGTGGGGAGCAGAGCAGGCAGATCTACTGCAATACAATGCTGAGGGGGGCAGTGGGCGACACAGGAGATGTGAGTTAGTTCTCTGACGGAAATCGAACTCGCTGCAGCGGCTGCGACAGCTTCACAGTGCTGCGCTTTGACCCGTTACACCACCAGGAAGGGCCAGATCTGTTCTTTATGACTAAGAGCCCTGAGAAGAGACTGCTGCCCTTTCTCTTGGAGGATTTCCTTGTGGTGTACTCCCCAACTTAGAAATAGCTGCTAAGAGAGATGAAGACTTGTAGCTCTTGTTACCTTGCAGATTGCTCTGCAGAAAAACTGAACCAAGTTAGAAGCCCAGCCGTGAAGAGTGCTGGCTGGTCTGTTAGGAAAGCGCTCTCCCCTCTAGGCTGGGACCTGACTTCCATTTCACAGGGTAAAGTCACCTCATGTTTCCTGAACTGCGGGGCACAGAAGGGCCTCACAGAGGACTTCCTGCTTTGCAGGTGTAGGAATCGGCGTGGTGCATGCTGGGTACGAGCGACGCCTGGCCCATCACCTGGGAGCACACAGCACCCCCTCCATCTTGGGAATCATCAATGGCAGGGTTTCCTTCTTCCACAATGCAGTTGTCCGTGAGAACCTCCGGCAGTTTGTGGAGAGTCTTCTTCCGGGAAACCTGGTGGAGAAAGTAAGTGCCGGGCCAGTGGAGGGGCACCTGGCTGCACGAGCTGCCCATCCCTAGGCCTGCTCGCTGTCCTGAATGCTCTCTGCCATCATCTCACACCTGAGGTGCATTTGAGTTGGGCAAGCTATGTATGCATTTAACGAGCTTCTCAAACTAAGTCACTGAAATGTCTGTCAGAGGCTGAAAATGGGAACAGCCAAAGTAGATATCTGGACAGAAATCATCTGTTAGTAACCACGGCAGATTAACACAGCCACAGGAATCTGAGCCTAAGTGACAGGGACTGTGTTCTGACGAGAACATTGGATCACAGTGTGGCATGAAGGATTTTTTTCCAGGTGGTGGATTTGTTCACTGAAAGATACTTTCCCGCTGAAAGTATTCAGGTTGTTACATTTGGTTATATATTATATGGTCCTGTCTACAGAAGACACCAGGTTCCATGAAATCAAAGAGTATTTCCGAACATTCAGAAAATACAGTGATGCAACAGTATGAAGAAAATTCACAACAGTCAAGCTAAAGAAGCCAGGCACCAAGTTGCTCATACTCCTTTATGAGATTTATATTTAAGAAGCATGTGGCTTTCCCCCCCAGCATCTCGGGCTAGAGAGCAGAAGAACCAAAGCAGGATTCTTACTTTGCTTTCAATGATTTGTTCCTTTCACAGCCCCAGGGAGAGCAAAATACAGACATATTTCTACCCGCCAGGGTCACTGTCCTGGCAAAGTAGTTGTTGGCCTCAGCTTAAAGGAAGTTGCCAGCCTGGGCGGCCCAGGCTCCTGAGAGGAGGGTCCTGAAGTTCTCAAACCTTTACAAAGTATTTTCTCCGCCAGGCACCGCGATACATGTTGAGTACACCTTTCAAGGGGCTTCCGCTTGGCAGGTGATTGTTTCCGGTACTTTGTGAGCCCTCCCTAGAGAGTAGGGGGAGGACCCCTGTTCTGAGTTAGACAGGTGGGGACGAGTCCCAGGCAGGCAGAGGCGTGGAGACAGGTGCAGGCTGCCGTGTAAGGCCTGGGCTGTCGGGACTCACCTGGAACCTCACCTGAGGGGCTGCGAGGGCTGCCCTTTGAGGAACACAGCGTAGCGCACAGCCAGGGAGGTGAGCACAGCAGTAAAGCAACAGGTAGAGGCTTTATGTGGATCATTCACCTTGTAAGCTTTTTAGAACTACTGTGAAAAATTTCTAGGTAGAAAGTTGATTTAGTCATGTTTGTGACTAAACATATGTTCTTTCCAGACTATTTTCAGGCATAAACAGCACGAAATTCAGATGACAATAATGATACTGTGTTATGCCTTCGTGGGGTAGGCCCAGCTCACTTTTATGTAAGCCACGTTGCGCATTTGTGTATTCCAGGCCATTTTAAAAGCACATCAACGCATCATCAGCTGTGGGTTGCTAGGGGAACGAGTGTGCGCTTTAGACCTAAGCAAGAACCAACTTTGACACTCAGCTTTTTTATAATATATATGGTCGTTTCAGTTTGAAGGATGGTGATTTCAGTCTGTGAGAGCTGGAACAACTGAAAATACAAAGTCAATCTGTTTTTCTAGTGTTATTCAAATGAAGATAAAAGCAAAGAGGTATTCTGCATTTTTTTTTTAACAGAACAATTCTTACACATAGATGATTTGGTGTAACTTCAGGCAGCGTTACAATACAGCGATTAAGGATTAAACACTGACACGAACATCCTATTTTCCATTTAAGGTTACAAGTAAAAATTATGTCCGATTCCTCTCTGGCTGGCAGCAGGAGAATAAACCACGCGTCCTTCTGTTTGACCAGATGCCCGTTGTCCCACTGTTGTACAAGGTACTTTCTATGGTGGGGTGATGTTTTCTCTTATTTTGGTGGAAGAGCTAGTAGCCTGATTGTCTTTTCTGGAAGAGATTATTCTCCCACGAATAATGTTGCAAAGTAGACATCTGCTTTGACCATCATGCTGAGCACCTGCTGATGTCATCCCTGTGCTAGCATGTTCCAGACACACAATGATAGCGTGTCCAGACATTACGCATGTGATGTTGAGAGAAGCCAATGACGTAGCTATTCTACAGACCCAGCACTGAGTTGAGTGACCACTTATCCAAGGTCTCGCCACAGTGTGATGAATGTACAGGTCTCTGGAAGCCACTCTGACCTCACACCTGCCCCCTGAACAATACTGTGCCCTTAGATGGCACTTCTAGTACATCAGGTTGCCCCAGTGACCTGAGATGGAGGCAGAAGTGTCCTGCCCAGCCCCAGGCACAATCACTGCCATCCTACGCTCCCACCTCCCACACAGCACAGACCCCAATAAGACAAATCTTGCTTGTCCATGAATAAAGGATTAGCTGTGTTTAGCTTTGTGGCGCCTTTTTGTGCGTGGAATACACAAGACCTCCTACAGGTGTGCACAGGTGCAGAGTCCAAGTGCAGAAAGAGGGACACAGAAGGCGGGTCTCCACCCGCTGCTGCTGTGAACAGGTCACGCTTGTTTTGTAACCCGGATGCTTTCTGTGCTGCCCTGACAGTTGACCGCTTTTGCATACAAAGACTATTTGTCCTTTGGCTACGTGTGCGTGGGCTCGAGGGGGGCAGAGGTGGTGATGCGGCAGTACAACGTCAACTCCTACACGCCCACCCTGCTGATCTTCAAAGAGCACACAGACAAGCCCGCCGACGCCCTCCAGGTAGGCAGGTGCCCTTGCCCCTCCTAGTGTAGCTCGGCCGCAGAGTAAACGCAGAAAACTGAACAGAGCAAGCGGGGGAAGGAGAAACTGGTTTGAGTTTTTTTCCTTGAGAAACACAAAGTGTGAAAACAAGTTTGTCTTTTATCTGTCTCGATGCTGTTTCACGAAAGAAATAATTGACAGAAAGCAGAATGGTTGTCTGGGCGCAGTGGGACAGCAGGAAGTAGGGAGTTAGCGTTTGGGGGGATGACGGTTCTGGAGGTGACGGGCGGTGATGCTAGCTGGACGGTGTGAAGGTACTTTGGGTCAGAGGATTAGACACTTACAGCTGGTTAAATGATGAATTTCATGTGACATATTTTACCACAGTAATAAATAATCTCTATATCTCTTGTGGACCCCTGTTAGAAAATAATTTCTTCATAAAACGAATTACAAAGACAAATGTGAATTAAATGTAAAACCCTAGTAATAAAAATTCAGAACTAAGAAAGCTGGAGGATGCATCAGTAACTATTGACCTTAGGATGGACAAGGGCATTGTGGGAAATCTTGCTGGAAATGTATTTTTTTTTTAAGATTTATTTGTGCATATAGAACTGGGGTACAGGCCAGAGGCTCAGGGACAGCGAGAGGCTTCACCAGAGAAAGTGGGAAGCAGAACAGGCAGATGGACAAAGTACACTGCTGAGGGGAGCAGCGGGCGGGTCAGGAGAGGTCTGCCACGCCATGCGGTCACCTCGGGGGCATGTGGGAATGGAACTCATGCAGAAGTGGCTTTCGATTCTTAGTGCTGCGCTCTAACCCGCTGCACCACCAGGGAGGGCCTGGAAATGTATTTTTTAAGATTTATTTATTTATACATACAAGAGCTGGGATACAGGCCAGAGGTGCGGGGGTAAGAGGATTCCTTGGAGACAGAGAGGGGAGCAGAACAGGCGAATTGACTGAAATACACTGCTGAGGGGAGCAGCAGAAAGATAGGAGAGGTCTGCTGCGCTATGTGGGTCAGCTCCATGACCGGGTATCAAATTCATGCCACAGTGGCTGTCAGTAGCAGACTTCTGTCTCCCCGCTGCTCCCCTCAACAGTGTACTTCGTCAGTCTATCTGCTCTGCTCCCCACTCTATCTCTGGTGAATCCTCTCACCATTCCTGCACCTCTGGCCTGTACCCCAGGTCTGTATGCATAAGTAAATAAATCTTTTCTAAAAAAATTTTTTAATTGCCCTCCAAGTACTATTTTATCTGCATTACAAAATTTTTAAGGTTATATTTTCTCTAGTCATTCAAATTTAAAATGTTTTCTAATATCTGATACTTTTTCTCCTTAGACCACTAAGCTTTTCAGAGTGCTTCTTAATTTCCAAAGATGGTTCACATCTTATATCTACTTCTATAGGAAACTGTGCTCAGAGAACCTGATAAACCTGTGTTCAGAGGCCTCTGAAATGTGTGTGTTAGCAGTAGCATCACACAGCCGTGTCGTTTGTCTCTTGCGCTTAGCCGCATTGTTTTCTGGTTTGCTAAAAATTTTTCACTTTGCTATAAATCTTAGATGGAAGTAAGTTTGCCTAAAATTCAAAACAATGAATTTCTTAACTGCCCCATCAGAGCAGTATATAGCAATTCTACAGCAGAAAGATTTTTCTTTTAACCTGAAATAACGTCATCATTGCTTTCAGCCCTCCGTTGTTGAAACAGGCCACCACAGGCTTATTTTCCCAAGCATCTCTGATGTATTTGGTCATATTACCTTAGCCAAGGCCATAGTACCATAGCCTGTCATTTTTATTAAGCTGTAAGTTAAACCCACCTGCCATGAGAGGACAGAGCAAAGTCAACTGTTTCTTTTTTTTCCTGCAGGCCCGGGGTATGAAGAAGCAGGCCATGGAGGACTTCATCACCCGGAACAAGTACCTACTGGCAGCCAGGCTTACCAGCCAGAAGCTGTTCCATGAACTCTGCCCCGTGAAACGGTCTCATCGACAGAGGAAGTAAGGCCACGGCTTGGCTTGTCGTCCCTGTAGAGGGGCCGCGTCTCCCTGAAGGCCCCGTAAACATCTGCCCTGTGATGCTCCCACCCCGGCCCTGCCTCTCTTTCTCCATTTCTCTTTTCCCATAACTCTTGTCCCTCCCTGTCACTGAGTCAACTGTAGTCTTTACCCGCTGAAATATAAGTTCCACATGAGCAAGAACGCCGTCTAGCTGACCTAGCATCTAGTAAGTGCTCACTAACTGTTCACAGGAATGAACAGTTAGACAAACTCCACTGCAACCTCTTGGTTGGGGGAAACATCATCCGTCTAGAAAAGGAGCAGGTCATGAATGCCGTGGAAACCTCTCACTGGAAACTTCCATCCGCTGGCTTTGATGAGCCAGGTGTATTCCCTTGTCTAAGATGCGCTCCTGGATGTCTTCGCCATCCCGCCATCGCATGCCCCGCCATCAGGCAGGCTTTGAGGTCTTCTCCTTTGTCGTTGGGCAGGTACTGTGTGGTGTTACTCACTGCCGAGGCCGCCAAGCCAAGTAAACCGTTTGAGGCCTTCCTCTCCTTTGCCCTGGCAAACACCCAGGACACAGTGAGGTTTGTGCACGTCTACAGCAATCGGCAGCCAGACTTTGCCAGCACCTTGCTCCCTGACAGTGATGGTCTACAGGGAAAGGCAGCGGTGAGTCGAGGTTCTCTCCTGACCCCAGCCTCTCCGTGCTCGCCATAAACGTGGCACAGGTAGCTGTTTCCTGCTCCCTCGGGAGTCTTGAATGCAGAATCCACGTCGTCTCTGAATCCCGATGTGTAAGCTTCCTCTTAAAACAGTCTCTCCCTGGTGATCGCACACCGGGACTTTCAGCCAGGGACCTTCACAGAAAGCATCTCTCGTTAGAGTACAGCTCAAGGCTCAGCCTTCCCCCAGTTGCGGCCCATGGCTGGCCCAGTCTTGCAGTACCAGGATGTAAAATCTCCCAGGGCTGCCGGTCATTTGCCTTGTAACTTCACTTTCCTCTATTCCTGCCCCTCACTTCCTCCTAGTAGAGCTTCCCTGCCTTGCCCCTCCTTTGTTGAAAGGCCTAAAGGCCTTATCTCTGTCGCTATTTGGTAATCGCGGAAATGCTCTCTTAACAACAGAGGTTTCCTTTACCAAGTTTTCAAAGCCTAGTAAGAGTCAGCTTCCAGTCAGAAAAATGGAGCTCATGTGAAGATGTTTAATCCTCCCGTGTGTGTTGGGGCTTGCTGCTGACTTCACCAGGCCCTGTTTCCCAGCTGCCCTAGGAAAAAAAAAAAAACCACCAAACTATGGTAACATAACCACGTAATGCTTCTCCTCTGCCCCCAGGTGGCTATCCTAGAAAGGCGCAACACTGCGGGAAGGGTGGTATATAAAACCTTGGAGACGCCCTGGGGTGGGAGTGAGAGCGACCAGTTCACCCTCCTGCGTTACCTCGACCAGCTGCGGAAAGACCCGGCTCTGCTGTCCTCGGAGGCCGTGCTCCCCGACCTGACCGACGAACTCGCCCCTGTAAGCTCGTGGCCCTGGGGAGGGGGCCCCGGGCCGGACTCGAGAGTGCCCAGCCCCACCAGAGTTCCCACAGCACGCGGCGGGGTGCACAGGACTCCCCTCCAGGGCTCAGGGGCTCAGTCATCATCTGTTTTCTCTCATAGATCTTTCTCCTGCGCTGGCTCTACTCGGCTTCTGACTACATCTCAGACTGCTGGGACAGTGTGTTTCACAACAACTGGTACGCGTGTCCTAGGCTGACTCTTTTCCTTTGGGAAAAGCCCATCCTTTCGACGTCAGTGTATCCTCAGCACAGGCAGGCAGGAGAGTGTCTACACACTTTCTACCACTCTCCTTCTTCTTTCTTTCAGTAACTGCACTTTTTTTGTATTTGCTGATGGGCCCTTTCCCACTGCCTGGGGATAAAGAATTGCCCCAGAGCTGCCCTTCCAGACGGTTGAGCCTGGGCTGTTCTCTTCATCGAGGCCGCTCTGGTGCCCAGCATGGACCTGCCCCACATGGACCCAGTGTATAGACGACAGGGTCAGTGAATTTATGAGCAGGGAGGGAGCGCCCACCACTCCCGATCATTGAGCTGCTGCAGTTCGGACCCCGTCCCATCCCCAGTGTGGTTCCCACACCCAGCACCACTCCTGGTACTCCTGGAAAACGGCAGGCCTTGGGTGAATAAACTTTTGAACACTAATTCTAGAAGAAATCTCAAAAAATCAACTTTTTCTCCCTACCCCTCCAGGCCACATCTGATTTATTCTGACCCCCCCCCAAAAAAAATCAAATGAAAAGAAGCCATTCCATAGAGCCTTTAGTCGCCATTCGCCGCCTGAGCATCAGAGTAGAGTGTGCGTTCATGCTCGCTACTTCAACCTCTGCCCCTCACCCTGCCTCCTTTCACTGACGCTGTAAGCGCAGCCTTTTGCCCTGAGATTCAAAAGCCAGTGTTCAGAATAAGCCATCTATACGGCCTCCCTGGTGGCCTAGATTAGGTTAAATCTCAGCGCTTTCACCATTAAGGCCTGAGTTCGATCCCCGGCCAGGAGTGACCCACGTGGCGCAGCAGACCTCTCCTGTCTCCCTGCCGCTCCCCTCAGCAGTGTGCCTCAGTAGATCCGCCTGTTCTGCTCCCCGCTCTGTCTCTGGTGAATCCTCTCACTCCCTGCACCTCTGGCCTGCACCCCAGTTCCTCTATACAAAAATAAATAAAATTTTTTTGAAAAGCCATCTGTGGATTAAAACAGGAAAATGTGCTTTCCTTACCACCATGCCAGAAAGCCTATTTAAGTGAAATTAGAAAGTTTATTGGCATGAAAACGTTCTGTTTTGAACTTTTGTTAGTTTGAGCTGAAAAGAAAATTAAACTAAAATCACCAGTTGACACGTCACATCAGCCTGTGCAGAGCTGACCAGAGTTGGTTCCCTTCATTTAGGCGGGAAATGATGCCTCTTCTGTCCCTGGTCTTCTCCGCGCTCTTCATCCTCTTCGGCACTGTCATTGTGCAGGCGTTCAGGTAGGAGCCTCTGGGGCTTCTCGGCGACCCCTCACGCATAAGCCTCAAATCTCCATGGTGCTTCATACTCTTTTTTTGGTAAAACTTCTTTCCTCCTATTTTAGTGACTCAAATGATGAGCGAGAGTCAAACCCTCCAGATAAAGAAGAAGCCCACGAGAAGGCCGGGAAGACTGAGCCAAGCTTCACCAAAGACAGCAGCAGGTTCTAGCAACCCCCCACCCCACCCCCCGCTCAGCATGGGCCCACCAGCTGTTCGCCTATAAAGTGGGTCCAACGCCACCTGCAAGGCCACTGGTCCGCCCTCAGGGAGGCGTCGCAGTAGGGAAGTCGCTGCTGAGAGCAGAGCAGACCCCTCGCGCCCGGGCACGGCCTCTGCTTCTCTCTGCTCAAGCCTTTGGTTTCTCAGGCTGGAGTCTGAGTATGTCAGGGAGATGCTCGCTGAGCAGAAGCAGAGAATGGTCGTCACCAGAACTGTCAGTGACCGTCATCCTGTCCTAAAGCTGCCTCTGTCCCAACCAAATGGTAGGGGCTGAAAGTGCTCCGCGTTCTGGGCTGGCCAGCTCACGCCCCCGGCCCGGCAGTGTGTCAGGCCCAAGGATATGAAGTGACGTGACTAGTCTGGTTAGGACATAGCATTTTCTTTCGCTTGTTCCTTTTGAAAGTAACATCTTAATTCCTCAATATTTCTCCATAGCAAGATTCCTAAAAAGGGCTTTGTGGAGGTCACTGAGCTCACCGATGTGACGTACACCAGTAACTTGGTGCGCCTGAGGCCGGGTCACATGAACGTGGTCCTCATCCTGTCCAGCTCCACGAAGACCAGCCTGCTACAGAAGTTCGCTCTGGAGGTCTACACGTTCACGGGGTAGGCGGCAGGGGTTTCGGGGGCGGGAGCGCAGTCAGGTAGAGCAGGGCCGGAGGGAAAGAACGGTCTTTCCTCTCTGACTAGAAGGGGCTTTATCTGTGCGGATGCTGACCATCCTCTTTCCCACCCCAAAATCTCAGCCATCGTGGGGAGCCTCTCCCCCTTGACTTCATGTCCTGTTGTCCTATTGACAACAAAACTGAGTTCTGTCTTCTCAGCCCTCGGGAAACCAACTTTTGTGCAGCTGCGGGTATTTACCTGAACCCGGAGCAGCGAGGGCCCCCCAGCAGGAGATGAGGAGATGGATGAGTGCAGGCATTGTGGGCGGGTACCCGTCAGTCCCCTCAGCAGCCCTGCATTTCTTCTGTATTCAGGCCCCATCCAGGGCAAAAATGTCTGTTCCTGCAAATGAGTCAGGAAACGTGCTAACACTCAGTCTTCTTCCCGCAGGAGCAGCTGCCTGCACTTCTCCTTCCTGAGTCTCGACAAGCACCGAGAGTGGCTAGAATACTTGCTGGAATTCGCTCAGGATGCCGCCCCCATCCCCAACCAGTATGACAAGCATTTCATGGAGCGAGACTACACTGGCTATGTACTGGCTCTGAATGGCCACAAGAAATACTTCTGCCTCTTCAAGCCCCAAAAAACAGTTGAAGAGGAGGAAGCCATGGGGTCGTGCGGTGGGCATTTGGGGGATGCCCGGGGGAAATCCTCCTGTGGCCTCGGGTCCGGGCCCATCAAAGGGAAACTGAGCAGGCTGTCGTTGTGGATGGAGCGCCTGCTGGAAGGCTCCCTGCAAAGGTTTTATATCCCATCGTGGCCTGAACTAGACTGAGAGGGTTTCTAACAAGACTTGAACTCTTCAGCCTTTTTAACGGGTTCCTGTGAACAGGTATTTTCAGGACTCAGACTATCACAACAGACAGAGTATAGATTTTAGGTCCTTCTTCTAGAACACTGGCTAGAAGAATCTTCCTTTGTCCTGTCCTAACCTAGGAGTGAACACCACCACAGATTGAATTCCCTAGATGAAATATTTTCCTTTGGACTTCTTTTGTTTCTGCCCTGATTTGAATGCCACATATTTAAGCTAGGCTGCTCATTCCTCCTCCTCCTCGGTTGCCCCCACGGTGTGCTCACACCCCCATTCTGTCTTCTGGGGGAGCAGCACAGGGCTCAGCCTTGCAGCGGTGGACCCTCACAGGCTGGTGTGCTGGTCCCCCTGCGCCCCGACAGCCCCCCCACAGCCCAGCAGTGCTTCTGCCACATGCATGCTGTCCCCAGGGAACCGCCCAGCAGCTTCCAGGCCCCGCCTCTTGAAAGAGGCCTTGCTCCAAGCGATCTTACATATGAAGGTGTTTCTGGTAGCAGGTTGTAAGAGTCTGTCTTGGGAGTACCCCATCACAGTTTGTCAGCCCCTGGTTCAAAAGGGTCAGGGTGAGTGGGCGTTCTGCACGGGAAATTTCTTCCCTAGAAAAGAGGGGGAACGCTGAGGTGGCTGAGGGACCCCAGCGAGCCTCCCCTCGGCTGCCTTTCCAGCGTTGAACCACGCCAGGTAAGCTCAGTAGGCAAGAAGTACTGTATTGACTTTGAGCCATTTTTGTGTGTCTTCAGATGCCTTTCTGCTTCTGTCAACTTTAGGGTAAGGATATTAGGAGCCATAACTTGTAATCTTGTTTTTTGAACGTAGAGATAAGCTGCTCTAAGCCCGTCGACATTCACCTAGAGACACGTTCTTCCCACCTGCCGCGGAAGCCTCTCCACTCCATGGTGTCTCATTAGTAAAACGCCAGACATGTCTTTGTATCAAGGAACTTACAATGTCTCAACACTTGTACTTTGAGCACTGCTACCCCCTGAGTTCTGTATCTTCAAGTCCTCTTTGTGACAAGTGAACCAAGACTTGTTCTAGACTCCTGTTTTGCAAAAGGCTTGCTTCGAGCTTCTGGCCTCTGTTTTGATGTCTCTGAATTGTTTTCACCCTTCACTTAACAGCCGCTTTCCCAGTGACAGGGTCTGACCTGTCATCTGCACCCCAGCTTGCTGAGCTCCCCAACTCCAGGCCGGATCAGACCAGCCAGTTAAGAGTTTCCCTTTTCTCTTTCGGGCAGAACAGCCCCGTTGGAGTTTGGGGGACCTTAGGAGGAGTTAGTGCAAACATCATGGCAAACCCCTTTTGTCAAGTGAAGCCTCAAAAAGCGTCAAAATGGGACGTGGATTACTAAGTATTTCTTCAGTCACAGTTGCTTTAATCTAAGCCATTTGGATCCTGAATAACTTAAACAGTGAGCTAGAGTACATCATCAATTATCGGAGGCCGGGAATTTCACAGACTTTGTAGTTTTACTGTAAAAATAAAGAATCATGCCAGGCTTATTTCTCCGCAGGCTCCTCTAAAAACAGACGCGGCCTCTGATCGCCATGCTTCATGGCAGCCAGCCCAGTGAGAAGTGATCAAGGAATTCAAGTGACTCCTTGAGAGCCAATCCTCAGAATTGTTTCCTGGACCTCTCGTGGCCAGGTTATTTTATGATAGTGTTTTTGGCTAGTGATAGGTTTTAATTTCTGATACCAGTGGGATTCCCAAAACCCATTTCTGAAAACCAAAAACTCCCCAGAGTTGTTCATTTGTTTAAAAATTTTATCATTAAAATAAAAAGTCCCTCTGACAGTGTACCTCCCACTTTGTCCTAAGAAAGGGAAATGCTAAGATTGAAAGCATTCCTGGTGAATACTTGGGCCCTAAAGGTCTTGTGCAGAGCATTTGGGGTGCTAGTGGATCGGTCCCCAAGAGAGCTTTCATTTTAAATCAAGTCAGGTCCACCCAGCCCTCCCCTGAACATCATTTCCATGAACTCGTTTCCTTTACTTTTGTGTCAAACACGCGAGTCCTTGTCACGCTCAGCCAGTGCCGCCGCCTGTCCTGTGAGGAGTCCCAGGCTGCTTTTGGCTTTCACGTCCTTGTGCTTGAGGACCCTGGGCCTGAACGCACCGCTGTGCGCAGAGGCGGACGTTTCTGGTGGGTACAGAAAAGGCAGCATGTTCAGCAAGTGGGGAGTGAAGACGAACTCAAGACGCATCTTTGCAGGAGACGCACCCGCGTGAAAAATAGTCTCTCGCCGCCGGGTGTCGGTCGGCACAATCTGTGAACGCAGGAGTGGCAGCTTCACCTCAGCAGCGGGTCCGAGACAAGTCTGCCCCGGCCTGTCTCATCTCACCACCATCCCCTGATGACCAGGAAGATGTGGGGATGGCTTTCACACAAGAGATTGATTTCTTCCTCACTCAGTATATTGAAATGTTTCCCCAATAGATAAGACATCACGAGCCGAAGGTGTCTTAACGTGGTTTGCTTTGGGAAGGACGCTCGATTTGTTTTTGTTTTGAGTAAAATTCTCTAAAAGCAGGTGCACAGCATCCTTACCGATGACCTGCTGCTCAGGCCTGTCCGCCGGACGTCATTCCTTGAAAACACAGCAGAGCTGCTGCCAATTCTCTTTGTTCCATTTGTCAAGGAGGGTGATTGTGTTTTCAAGATGGATGTGAAAAGAAGGTGAATATTTTGCACTTTTGATACTCAAGAACAAATAACCTATTTGGCAAATGGTGTCTTTTTTATGTTGTTTTGTTTTGTATTGTGAACAGGCACTGAAGCTGATGTTATTTTAAGATTATTACAGACTGGAAACAGAAATAAACTATTTTAATGTGTGATAATGATGGGTAGCTTTTGCATTACAAGACAAGATTTGGTCACGGGCACATCTACAGAACTGAACTTGCCTGTAACTCAACACATGCGTAAGATGAGCGCGTCCGAACTGCAGATTTCCAAGCACAGCCGTCACGGACGCTGTAGGCTGTGTGGGCTGGTAGAAGAGGCAAGGGGAGGGCGTGGAGGAGGCGTCCCTGAGGGGCTGCTGAGTCCCTGGTGTCAGGCTTAGAAAACATTTCATGCACCTCCCTGGCCTGTTGAGGGGGGAGCTGACAAGGACCCCTGTGTTATTCTCTTCCAAGCTTTGTGTTTATGTTCACAACCTAAAATCAAGATGTGTCCTTGGGCAGTTAGAGGAGGAGCCGCACAAATAAGGGATACACAGGGTGTTAGAAGGTCCTTTCTCCAGTGTGTAGATAACCTTGAACTAAATCTTCAGTCCCTTTCCCCCACACCCCCCCCCCCCAACATGAAGGAAAAAAACTGGACAAACAAGATAAGGAAGTATGGGGGGGGTAAGGGAAAAGCCACAAGACCAGATCCCGGCTCCCCAACCCTGAACAATGTCTCTGGCTTATAGTT